CTCCATCTCCAAAGCAACTGAATACTTTATGTTCATGAAAAATGACACCAACAAGAAGTCTTTCCAAACCAATGTGAAATGAGAGCCCCCCCCCCCCCCCCCCGGAGAGGGTACTATAAACTGAATATAGATGGTGCCGCTAGGGGTAATCCAGGCATAGGAGGAATAGGTGGAGTATTCAATAAGCATAACAGGGATTAGATTATGGGGTATATGGAGAATATACGACATACCACCAATACCATGGCTGAGCTGAAATCTCTTCTGAAAGGGCTTCAACTAGCTGAGCAAAATGGATGGATCCCTCTGAATATCAACACATACTCGGCAGAAATAATCCAAATGCTTCTTACAAGTAACTTAGCATATGATCCCATGATTTGTGAATGCAGGTTGTTAATGTAAAGGATGGACAAGGTCATGGTGAGACACATGTACAGGGAGCAGAATAGGGCAGCGGATGCACTGACAAAAAAGGCAGCAAAGCCAAGTTTTTTGGGAAGAACCAGCTTACTAGCAGTTCCTCCGATGTTTGCAAATGATGTATTTTGGGCAGACATCCTCAGAACTGAAGTTGTTAGAAATTTTTTGGCATGTAATATTGATACAGTAAAATAAAACATCTCAGTATTGGGGGAATTACACTATCCCGGCACTGACAATACTATGCACTGTATTTCCTAGTTTTCTTGTTATATATATAAATATCCCCTATTAACCAAAATAATAATAATAATGCATGGATTAGTTATGCAGGGATAAGTGTTCCATATGCATGAATAAAGGATTTTATCTGAAAAGGGGCCTATTCGACCCGCTTTTGCTCGTTCCCAGCCCATATTACCCAATCCTTCTTCACCCACCTTGCCCGCAGCTCCTTCTCCGGCTCCACCTGCTCGGTTGCCTTTCAAACACCTCACCATGGCGGAGATGCAGAGTCGGCGCGAGAAGGTCCTTTGCTACCATTGTGATGAAAAATACTCCCCTAACCATCGTTGTAAGACTGGCCCCCAATAGTTCCTCTTAACTGATGGCCCAGAGGATAAAGTAGCCTTACTAGAGAATTTTATTCCCGATGATCTTCTCGCTGAGGAGTTGCAGTGTTTGGAAGTTCAGGAGCATTCCTCGATTTCGTATCATGCTTTAGCGGGTGGTGTTTCCTCCAATACTCTTCGCTTTACTGGCCATGTTAATGGTTCACCGGTAAAAGTGCTCCTTGATGGTAGGAGTACTGATAACTTTATTCAATCTCGAGTTGCTAAATTTCTTCAGCTCCCCATCAAGCCTATTCCTCGTGTTTCTCTGATGGTGGGAAGAGGCCACCGACTAAGTTGTGATGGTGTCTGTCGCCAAGTTTCCCTCTCCATTCAGGGTTGCAACATTACTATGGATTTCTATGTATTACCCCTCCATAGATCAGATTTGGTTATCGGCGTGTCATGGTTGGAAACCTTCGGGCCGGTTGTCACTGATTACTGTGCTCGAGTTTTTGAATTCACTCTTAATAACCATCGGTTCACTTGGCAAGGTGACCTACCAACAGATATCCAACATGTTCAATTGCATAGTATCCGATGTATGGCGCCGCCGATGCCATATCTTCCTTTTTCCACTTGGAATTAGTTGCCGAACCTGTTACGGCCACGGATGCCCCACCACCGGACTTAGGTGACTTATTGGATACCATTGTTGGGGTTTTCCAAAAGCTACAAGGTCTTCCTCCAACTAGGCCACAGGACCATGCCATTCATCTATTACCGGAGTTGAACCAGTGAATGTCAAACCTTACCGTTATTCGTATTTTCAAAAACATATTATGGAACAATTGGTAAGTGACATGCTCATTGAAGGGGTTATTCGTCCTAGCACCAGTCCATTCTCATCGCCAGTCCTCCTAGTTCGTAAGAAGGACAGAACTTGTTGGTTTTGTGTAGATTATCGGGCATTGAATGCAGTCACTGTTCGTGATAGATTTCCCATTCCAACTATTGACGAACTGTTTGATGAGTTGTATGGTGCCTAGTTTTTCTCCAAGTTGGACCTCCTATCCGGGTATCATTAGATTAGAGTCCGACCTGAGGACATGGAGAAAATAGCATTTCGCACACATGACGGTCATTATGAATTCTTAGTTATGCCGTTTGGACTCTCCAATGCCCCCTCAACCTTTCAAGCCACTATGAATGATATTTTTCGGCCATTTCTGCGTCGCTTTTTCTTGGTGTTCTTTGACAACATCCTGGTTTATAGCCCCAGTTGGTTGGAGCACCTAGAACATCTTCGCGTTGTCTTGCAGATCTTGCAAGATCATAAATTAGTGTCCAAGCGATCCAAATGCGTGTTTGGTCAACAATCCGTTGACTATTTGGGTCATGTCATCTCGCACACTGGCTTAGTAGTTGATCCAACAAAGATCACTACCATTAAACAATGGCCACAGCCCCATTCGGTGAAAGAGGTGTGTGGATTTTTGGAGCTCGCGGGATACTATTGTCATTTCATTCATCATTACACATCTGTAGCAGCCCCTCTGACTGATTTGTTGCGCAAAGATGCATTTCAATGGTCACCAGAACAACAGGTTGCTTTTGATAAGCTCAAAATGTGCCTTAGCTCCACACCTTTCTTGGCTCTTCCAAATTTTTGCCAGGAATTTACTCTAGAAACAGATGCATCAGGAGTTGGCATAGGAGCAATTTTATCCCAAAAAGGACATCCTGTGGCTTTCTTCAGCCAAAAACTTAGCCTTAGGATGCAACAAGCTTCCACATATCATAGAGAAATGTTTGCCATCATTCAAGCAGTAAGCAAATGGCGCCAATATTTGTTGGGACGTCGATTCACAATTTACACTGACCAGCAAGCCCTTAGGAACCTTACCAACCAAACTATCTAAACTCCTGCGCAACAGAAGTGGTTGAGCAAGTTAGTTGGATATGACTTCTCTATGATCTATCATCTAGGAAAGCAAAATGAAGCAGCTGATGCTCTTTCACGAGTGTCGGAAGCGGCATGTATGGCTATTACGTGGTGTGTTCCAGATCTACTGACGGAATTAAGGCTCCATAACATGACCCATCCGGAATTAATAGCCCTCCAACAGTCTCTTGCTCAAGATCCAGACTTGACCAACGGTTATAGCTTCCGCGATGGTTTACTATTTTTTAAAGGGCACTTGGTTATTCCCACTGATTCACCTCTGCGCCAACAACTGCTAATTGAATTTCATTCGTCCTCTACAGGAGGGGTGGCTCGTACTTATCACCGTCTAGCTTCTAATTTTTTCTGGAAACACATGAAAAGGGATGTTCAGGTCTTTGTTTCTTCTTGCCAAACCTGCTAGCAAATGAAAGATACCCATCACCACCTCGCGGGTTTGCTTTAACCCCTACCAGTTCTGGAGTTGTTTTTTGAAGACATAGCTATGGATTTCATTACATGCCTTCCGAGTTCAAGAGGGAAGACTACAATAATAATAATGACAGTAGTGGACCGACTGACCAAATACGGGCACTTTATTCCTCTGCCCTCGTCCTTTACCGCAGTCTCTGTTGCTGATGCCTTTGCAGTTGGAATCATCAGATTACATGGTCCTCATCGCACTATAGTCACTGACCGTGACCCTAGGTTCATCCACCTCTTTTGGAAAGACATACACCGCCTACAGGGAACTACGTTAGCCATGAGCACTGCGTATCATCCACAGACAAATGGGCAATCAGAGGCTCTAAACAAATGTGTGGAGCAATACTTACGTTGCTTTGTGGCTGATACTCCTAAGAATTGGGTTGCCATGCTTCCATGGACAGAGTTTTGGTATAATACTTCCCTACAAACTTTAGGTGGAATGACATCTTCTGAGGCATTGTATGGTCGAAAGCCTCCTACTATAGCTCGTTATGTCATCGGCGATAGTCCTAGTGACTTGGTGGAGCAGTTTCTCTTGCAAAGAGACGAAGTCATAGACTTGTTGAAACATAATCTGGCCAAGGCTCAGGTAAGGATGAAAAATAAATGCTGATAAGAGTCGTAAAGAAACCACAAGCCAGGAAACTTGGTGTTTGTGAAGATCAAGCCATATCGCCAACACTCCGTGCGTTCCCAGCAACATCATAAGTTAGGTCGTCGATATTTTGGACCATTCAAAGTCATCAAGAGAATTGGGGAAGTGGCCTATAATCTGGACTTACCAGATGCAACCAAGATTCTCCTGGTTTTCCATATCTCTATGCTCAACAAGTGTGTTGGAGAACCTCCTGAACAGATCACCCCGCTTACATTGACTGATTTCTCTTCTGATATACTTCCACCTGCCCAGAACCTTGAGGACAAGGTTCCTTTTGTGGATGGGGGTATTGTTGTGAACCAGGTAGAGTCAAATGCTGGTAAGGATGCTGACCAAGTTGCCACGAGGGATGACAGCAAGCAGTGGCAAAATGATACCACACGTAGAAGCACGCGCGTGAGGAAGATTCCAACAAATCTAACAGATTTCGTAGTGAGCAAGGGCTGAACACGTGATTAAGAATTTACTGGAAAGGAGAGTTAGTTAAATAGGCAATACCACTAAGGAATAGGCAGGCAATATGTGGTGTGAACCTTCTGATCTTCTCATCTCAATATTCTTCTAATTTCTCATCCCCTTCTTCTATGTTGTTCTAGTTCCAGTTATTGTTATTTCTCAATTTGAGTTGTTCATGTTGTTTTCATTGTAATCACTTAGTTCCTTGTTTATCAATACAATTTGGTGGTGCTGAAGTAATACTGTTACAATATCAACTCAAGATTTTCTTTTCCCCTCTTTTTACTCTTCCACGGGAGCTCCCTACTTTATTCACTTGGTGATTACAACCCACAACCATTGAGTTGGAGATGGAGAATACTTACTACTTGAGTAACCTGTTTGGTCAGAATTTTTTGTCCTTTTTTGAATCATGTGTTTGGCGAATTCTTTTATCCCCATTAAATAAGGGAGCGGGTAAGAGAAAAAAATTGAGAAAATGGTTCAAAAAATTTATCGTCAAATCCAGTGGCGGCCGGTGAAGAGAAGTGGGAAAACGATTGTTGTTGCTCAAGAGAAAGAGACGAGAGTCCACAAAGATGGGTGAATGTGGCTGTGAGGTCTTGAAAAAATGAGAGAGAGTTAGGGTCAAGTGACTTGGCAGCTGACATGGAGAAAATTGAGGGGGTCATCTATCACGGTGGAGATCCGCTAGGATTAGGGACAATTTTTAAAAGTTAATTAACGGTAGGGATAATTTGGACGAAAAGTATAACGGATGGCAGAAATAAACAATATATATATCATAGTAGAAGGCCAATTTTGAACCTTTTTCCTAAATAATTTGATAAGGGCAAAAATATGAATAGCTCTAAAACATGTTTTCTACAAGCAAATTTACGTACTTTTTACTTTTGTACGTGTGGAATCCAATGTACAGTCCGTGTGTGTGTGTCCCCATGAATTATGTCTCTTTTTCTTTAAATTTTTCAAACTTAGCTATACAGTGGCAACTGGTAAAGTGCACGGAGAGACACACTATAAAGCAATTGCAATAGTTTAGGAGAAAGTCCAACGAATAGCCATCTGACGCAATTTGTCATTTTGTGTGGAATTTTAAGCACACACTAGAGTAGAAAGACAAATTGGAAACATTCCACAAGTGTATATAAGGCCATTGCATTAAGACTAAGTTGAAGAGAAAAGAGACTTGTAGTCTTACATTTATCCATTACTCGGATTTGGCAAAAAACAATGAGGAAACTATCATCCTCTGCATCTGCAGAAAAAGCATATTTCGACAACACTTGGAAGATTATTTCGATCTTGTTAAGAAATGCACTGCACCAAAGGGAGAAGATAGACCTTATATGATTCAAGTTGCAAAGGAATTACGCCGGCCGAATTCACAACTGCTTCCGTGCACTCATCGTCGCTCAAAATTAAATGTTTATTTTAATACATGAGGTGAAATTAAATTTTATGTGAACCTCGTTCTAGTGCAGACAATGAAATTGTCAATTTTGGTTTTTTTACTTGGAAAAAAGATTTTGCTCGGATTTTAAACATTAATATGGCTTAAAAGAGGGTGAATGGGAAATGGGAAGAAATGAAAATTTTAGTGAAATTTTTAAGTTCCCCCTTGACAAAGGGACATTGTCTTATATTGGAAGAGGAAGAAGTTTTTGATAGGTATATAAGCAATTGCTCTTCTTCTAGCTCTTAAAAAGTTGAGAAGAAGGCAAGCCTCGCGCCGTCGTCGTCGCTCGGCTTCGGCTTCAGTCAAATGATTGATTGATTAATTTTTTGGACCAAATTTATTTGTTAATAGTAAATATTAACAGAAATGTTATTAAATATCCATTTTAATAATAAAATATTAATATTAATATTAAATCCAACGGAATATTAAAGGTTTGTCTGTTATCCATTTTCCGTTTTTCAGTTGTGTAACTAAAAATTAACCTCCCTCTTCAATTCCCGGTTTATTATTGCATAAATTAGCCATTTATGTTATGACATTTATGCTATGACCGTTTTGCATAAACAGCCATTCTGAAGAGTTGCACATCTTCAGTTTTCAACCCAACCTTGGCTATAAATACAAGTCCATTCTCTCAGAATTTCCATAAGATTTTCTGAGTTCTCCTCCTTTCTTCTGCATACTTTTAACTTCAAAGAAAGCAACAGTAACTGTGATTTGCTACCGAACTTTGTGTTCGCTGAAACACTGGGGTTTGAAGTACCACTACACCAGTGTGTAATTTGTTCTATCTTGGGAGGAAATAATCCATAACCTTGGTTTAGGAGGGGATTAAATTCTTTTAGGAAACACTATGAATTCAGTGGGGTCGGATTAACTTTTGTTTTGTTTACATTTTCTTTTTATATGTTGTTTTATCTTTTCCAGAATTAGTTTACAAATACCGTTTACTGAACACTCTTTGGATTCAAATCTATCTTAAACTTTTTTGGTTTACACAATTAAAAAGTGAGAACATGTTAGTTTTGTATTTGGCACCTAATTAAATTTTAATAGTTTCAGAATATGTCATTGTTTATAGTCCACCCTTCGTATTTACCTTTTTCCTATATCCTTGGCTGTAAAAGTTAGCAGCTAGTACTTGCTATGAGAGCAGAGTATCTCAAGGTATGCATCATACAGTCAATACTGAAAGAGTAAATTTAGGACTATTTACTAATTACTACTCTATCAAATATGGCTAATGGTACTATGATAATGAGCAGTTAGAGAAGTAGCACGCAACATGAATTTAAGCAGGGTGACGTGTCTGTATACAATGTTAGTGATGGCTACTTGCATAAAGTTCCAAGTGATTTTTTCTGTTGAATTTCTACTCTCTATTATCATAGCTTTAGGACAATTCGTAATTTCTTTGTCACAAATGAGCTCATGTTAGGTCATAAATCATACTCCCTCCGTTTCAATTTATGTGAACTCATTTGACAAGACACGGAGTTTAAGAAAAGAGAGAAGACTTTTGAACTTGTGGTGCAAAATAAAACACATATATTTTGTGTGGCTATAAATCATTGTGTAAAGGTAAATTGTTTCCAAATAGGGAAAGAGGTCATTCTTTTTGGCACAGACTAAAAAGGAAATAGGTTCACATAAATTGAAACGGAGGGAGTAATATTAAGCACTCCCTCCGGTTCACAATAAGTGTCCAATTTACTTTTAGCACGTCCATTAAGAAAATACTAAATTCTATACAAAAATATCTATTATGACTAAACTACCCCTACTTAAATATTTAATGTGAGGAGTAAGAAAACTTTTTAGGGATATGTACATAGGGGTTATTTTGTAAAAACAAATTGAATTCTTTCTTGATTACATAACTGGACACTTATTTTGAACCAAAATAAAAAAGTAAATTGGACACTTATTTTGAAACGGAGGAAGTAATAAATATGTCTGTTAAATGCATTTAAACTAGAAAAGAAAGGTGGAATGCGTCAATGAAAGTGCATGGAAATTCAAGAGAGAGACACTAACCAATGGGCAATGAAACTACCCAGCAATTCAGAAGAGAGTCAAGTCAATAGCCATATGACAGCAATTTGTTGGCATTGTGCGTAGAAATCAATGCACACGCTAGAGTAGAAAAAGACCGGTAGGAAGCTTCCAATTTCCTTATAAGATTCGCCGGAATAGCAAAATGGTCAAAAGAAAACAGTTATTTATCTATATTATCCATTAAAAAATTAGTTGGATAATAAACTTTTTAAAAAAGGATCAAATGGAATAAGAACTATATTATCCACTTAGAAAATGGATAACGAATGGATAATTAATGAGTTTAACTTTTACATTTATAAAGCCTCAAATTGGGGGTTCTTCAAGTTTAGAAGACTAGGAATTCTTTCAAAAATGATCATATTTAAGAAGTTATGGATAATATAGATATTCAGATTATCCACCGGTTAACTCGTTTTTATCCGTATTAAATACAGGTCGGGTCGGATAATTTTTCCGTTTACTGCATTACCCATTTTCACTACTAGAAATTCGGTAAATACCGACCAGAATTTTCCGACCGGCGTTGGTCGGTCAAAAAAAGCGACCAAAGTTGGATGGAAACTAGGAGAAAAATTTTCCGACCAATGTTGGTCGGTCAAAAAAAGTGATCGTTTCTCCCGTCCTCCCCGTGATCTTTCTTCCCGTCCTACACAAGATCCTTCACTATACCGTCTTGTAGATGAAAGTTCATCAGACGGTGATGATGATGTTGTATAAAACACTCCTTGACTTTTATGTACTTTGAACTAGACAAATAATACCAGTATTGAACTAGTTGTAATAAGTTTTAACTTGGTTTCGGATTTTTATGTTCAATTGAACTTTAATTTGTTAGTTTTAATGTATTTATTGATTGTTGTTGTTGTTGTTGTTGTTTTATGTTGCTATTAGGTGTATTGGTATACTGGCAAGTGGTGTAGCTGCCAAAACAGTCATTTTATGCCAAAATTAAAACCCAGAAAACCGATCAAAGTTGGTCGGTTTCTAATAAAAAAAATATCTTTCTGCAAATTACCGACCAAAGTTGGTCGGTAATCATTAAAAAAAAATTACAATTACCGACCAAAGTTCGTCGGTTAATGAACAAGGAATTCCCAGAATTCAACATTACTGACCAACTTTGGTCGATATTGTTAAATTTTATTTTTTTTTAAAAAATATATATTTTCATTTACCGACCAACTTTTTTGTCGGTATTTTTTTAAATTTAATAATTAATAAAAAAAACATAATTTAAATACACCGACCAACTTTGGTCGGTTAAATTATTAAAATACATTTCCAACCACAGTTGGTCGGTAAATGTTTTAAATTCTTCAAATGATCGTTTTAATATACCGACCAACCTTGGTCGGTATATTAAAACGACCATCAAAGCGACCAAGCATATTTGGACGCGTTGTGGTCGGTAATTGGCCATAATCGAGTAACGTTGGTCGGTATTTACCGAATTTCTAGTAGTGAAATTTGACCCATTCATATCCGCCCCATCTGTTTGCCATCCCTGTCCACTAGTGATGATGTGATTAGTGCCTTATTGAATTTAAGCCCATTGCATTAAGACTAGTGGACACGAGAGAGATCAAGTGTTAAGAAGAGAAAACAAACTTGTAAATTAAGTCATTACTTTCGCAAGAGTTGTTGGCAAGACAAATGCCTCACATTATGAGCGGACTCATAAGGAAACTGTTATCCTCTGCCTTTGCAGAAAGACTGAAGAAAAAGCAGTATTATCTAAAGAATGGAAGTGCAGTGCTAGAGGAACTTCTTCCTTTATGCGACTCCGTTACTTCAGCGCCAATGAAATCGACAAGGCAATAAAGAACCCTGAAAAGAGAATAATACTCTTCGGAAGTTGTATGGTTAAGTTCAACAAACACCTTGTTTTAAGTAGCTTGTGGCTCCAGGGCTATGGTGGAGACTATCACCGTAATATTTTCCGAGATATAGCAATTACTGCTCAAATGAGCCATCTCAAGAATGTATTGAGACTTGTTGGTTACAGTCTAGAATTGGAAAACCCAGTTATGGTATATGAATATGTTGAGGCTATGTCTCTTTATGAGCTACTTTTCCTAGAGGGTAATCATGATCAAAATAGAGAATTCATTAGATTAAGGATTGCTAATGAGATCGCTTCAGTAATTGTTTTTCTCCATAGCGAATTCAGTACGCCCATCATCTACAGAAACCTAAGTGCATCAAATGTGATAATATATCAGAACAGCGGCGTTGCCAAAATAACGGACTTCCCATTGTCCATATCATTGCCTCAAGGGGAACTGGAAGTAGCAGGTGCTATGTGCGGACATTCTGGGTATTTAGATCCTGAATACATGCAATCGGGTATTGCTAGTCAAAAAACAGACGTCTACAGCTTCGGTGTTGTTCTCTTTCAGCTATTAACGGGAAAGAAAATGAGTATACTTGATGGTAAGATGATAGATTTTACAAAGTTTCCCCACGTCGAAACCAATATTGAAGAGGGTAGTGTAATGGATAGTCGAAACCAATATTGAAGAGGGTAGTGTAATGGATATAGCGGATCCTACCATTTTGGAAGAGCATGGAATAGAGATTCGTCAACTACTGGAACACTACTTGGATCTTGTTAGGAAATGCACTGGTTACAAGGGAGAAGAGGAACCATACATGATTCATGTTGCAAAGGAATTACGCCAAATTAAGAAATGTTACTGTGGCCTCACTCTTGGTCAGAATTAGCTATACAATGGCAGGGGATTGCAAGAAGGGCTATGGGATGGACTGCAGAGACAATGTAAGAGGAAAGAATGCAGCAACTACTGTTTATAGGATTGCCTTGGCTGCCACTGTCTACTACTTATGGCAAGAAAAAAATATGGTGGTATTTCAAAACAAAAGGAGACAAGCAGATGCAATAATCAGAGTGATCATTCAAGAGATATTTGTAAGAGGCAGCGTGAACAAGATGCTGGAGAGGAGATTACACAGTTTGAAGTATTACTGTGACGACCCAAAGGGTCATCACCTGTTTTTTCATTCATTCCGTGCTTCCAAGGCCTCGAAAACCTCATTCACGGTTGCATCGATTTGCGTGCGCAGTCCGGGCACGTAGCCGGAAAGCTTAAATATGAATTCTGTGTGAAAAATGCTAAATTTTGATATTAATATGAATATATTTGACTTCGGTCAACATTTTGGGTAAACGGATCCGGACCCGTGATTTGACGGTCCCGGAGGGTCCGTAGAAAAATGTGGGACTCGAGCGTATGCCCGGAATCGAATTTCGAGGTTCCAAGCCCGAGAAATGAATTTTTGAGTAAAATTATTTTTCTGAAATTATTAAGGAAACTGGGAATGAAATTTGATTAAAAGACTGTGGTATCGGGCCCATATTTTGGTTCTGGCGCCCGGAACAAGTCTTATATATGGTTAAAGCGCTTTATATAAAGTTTGGTTGAAAACGGACGTCGTTTGGCGTGTTTCGGACTTAAAATGGAAAATCTATGTTTTATGAGAGTTTGGAAGAAATCATGAGCTTTGAGGCTTGATTCGATGTATATGATGTTATTTTGGCGATTTGATCGCGCGAGTAAGTCCGTAGGATGTTTTTGAGGTTGTGTGCGTATTTGGTTTGGAGCCCCGAGGGCTCGGGTGAGTTTTGGATAGGTGTCGGATTGCATTTTTGAACTTATAAGATTGCTGGTATGCCTGACTTGCAGGCTTCGCAAATGCGAAGCCAGCTTCGCAAATGCGAAGCCAGCCTCGCAAATGCGAGATTTCACATGGGCAGCATCCTTCGCAAATGCGAAGAATTCCATCGCAAATGCGATGCCCGCCTGTAGCCTCAGCCTTCGCAAATGCGAACACTTGTCCGCAAATGCGATAGCAAGCCGTCGCAAATGCGACATTTTCTCTCGCAAATGCGAACCTCCCAGTTTTCTTCAGAGTTCGCAAATGCGAAATCGACTTCGCAATTCCCACATCTGAGGCCCAGCAAATTTTATACTTAGTCGAATTTTCACCATTTTTCATCATTCTTTCAAAACCCAAACTCCTTAGGCGATTTTTCAAGAACATGTTTCATCCCAAATCATTTGTAAGTCGATTTTTACTCAATTCCTTCAATCATTAACATCATTTAACATGTTTTCCACTTAAAATCAAAGATTTTCATGGGTAAAATTGGGAGTTTTGGGTAGAACCTAGGTTTTTCTAAAATTGGGGATTTGGACCTCAATTTGAGGTCCGATTTCAAAACAAATTACATATTTGAGTTCGTGGGGGAATGGTAACCGGGTTTTTTGGTTCGAGCCTCGGGTTTTGACCACGTGCTCGGGGCGATTTTGAATTTTTGGGAAAAAACTTTGGGAAATCATTTTTATGCATTCAAATTGATTCATTAGTGTTTATTAATGTATTATTAAGTAATTTGTGGCTAGATTCGAGCGGATTGGAGGTGGAATTACGGGGTAAAGCCATAGTTGAGGCTTGAGTTGAAGTTTCAAGGCATCGAGTAAGTGTTTGGTTTAACGCCTAGCTTGAGGTAATAAGTAGTTGAGTCTATTTGTAACTTGCTAATTGTTGAGTACGATGTATAGGCATGGTGCGACGGGGGTATCTATACATTGGGGTCTAGCATGACCGTGAGTTCCTTATTTTGCAAAATAGTTTGGTTGTTTGTCATACCTTCCATGCTTAAGTGATGACTTCTAATTGTTGTTAAAGATCTTGGTGAAAGGAATTGTAATCTTTAAACTTCGTGGAGCGTTGGTCGAGTTGAATTACAATTGTGAAGGTATATGAGATGAGTAAATACCTAGAGCATTGGACTCAAGTGACAATGTGAACTATGAGATGCAAGTGAAGAAAGAGAAAGAGTTTATTGATGATTTGCCTAGCCGGACGTTGAGATATTGATGTGTACCCTTGCCGGTTTCAATTGTTTGTTTGTATCCTTTGCCGGGATTTTCGTTATTGTTTATTTATTCCCTTGCCCTTGTTTGTGATTGTTGATTGGGTGAGGAAGAGTGTTTAAATCACGAAGGTGAATGCCGTGCATTGTTTGTTTATTGGCAAGGAAAGAGTGTAAAGCAAAGGGGTGATGCCGTGCATTGTTTGCTTATTATGAGAAAGAGTGTTAAAGCACGAAGGGTGATGCCGTACCGCACGATGTTACCATTCCGTGCCGATTCTATTGATATATGTGACGAATGAGAGTAAAAGCACGAAGGTGATGCCGTGCACATGTTATTGCTGGTGAGGACGAGAGTAAAAGCACGAAGGGTGATTGCCGTGCACTGGTTGAATTCTGTTTCATTAACATACTAGTTGAGTTGTTGCTGTATTCTTTATTACTGGACGGCTCTTATTTGGAATTTATTATACTCCCCCACAACATGTTTTCCCCTCCCATATTGTTTATCTTTTGTATTTCGATTCCGCTGTACATATATATATAATATATATATATATAATATATAATATGAAATTGCACAGGTTTTATGTGGTAGTTGGTCTCTAAGCCTCGCTCTCACTTCGCCGGGGTTAGGCTAGACACTTACCAGCACATGGGGTCGGTTGTGCTGATGCTACATCTCTGTGCATTTTTTTGCACACAGGCCCAGGTTTCGAGCACAAAGCAGCAGCATTAGCACGGGAAGCAGGCTTTCAGTATCATGAGACCCGAGGTAGCCTTGCAGGCGTCCGCAGGCCCGGCGTCTCTCTCTTATTCTCTCTTTTAGACTGTTGCCTCTTTTATATTCGGACAAACAGCTTATGTGTCCTTTCAGACCCTTGTATTTAGAAATTCTTAGCAGTTCGTGAGTATTGTGACACCAGTCTTGGGTAGGAGCTTATATTGATTACTCCGTGTTTTATATTCAGTTTCTATAATTAAGACTTCCGCTTTTATTTATTTCGTTGCTTTTATATGTTGTCTATAAATTGTTAAAAAATTTTATTCATTAATGGAAAGTAATTAAAATGGCTTTTCCTAGATACTACGAGTAGGCGCCATCACGACTCCGAGGTGGGAATCCGGGTCGTGAAAGTTGGTATCAGAGCACTGGTTACATAGGTCTCACAAACTCACGGACAAAACTTGGTAGAGTCTAAGGATCGGTACGGAGACGTCTGTATTTATCCCCAGAGGCTACAGAGTTAGAAAAGTTTTCACATTTGTTCTTTCTAGTCGTGCGGTTTGTTTCTCAATGCTAAATTGGATTTCTACTCTGTTCTTTCGCAGATGGCGAGAACACACGCTTCTTCATCTACCGATCAGCAGTCTGAGCCCCAGGCAGCCTCCCGCTAGGGCGAGGACGAGGACGAGGCCGTGCTAGAGCCGAGTAGGCAGAGCTCAGCCCCAAGCAGCAGCACCCGCGGCGGAGCCTCAGGTTGACTTTGAGGAAGAGGTTCCGGCCCTAGCCGCAGCCAGTTCCGGTGGGG